ATACACTCCGAATGTCTGATAATTAACAATACGTGCGGCATTCGGCACGTTAAACCCAGAACATTTATCATGAGTTAGGGCACCTGCACAAACCCGACACTGAAGGGATGCCGTGTGGTTTTACTTCTCCGGCCTCAAGGTCTGAGGACTCTGAAGCACACGGCGCAGAGCTGGCCTCTTCTCAAGTTTCCACCAAATGATATTTCGTGTTTCTTTTAAACATGAATTGAGTCCTCCCTTCATTAAACTGTGTTTTCTTGCTTGTCTGAGCAGAGAAGGACTGTAAGCTACTGAATGTTTACACATTTCAGCAATTTCAAAGCAGCACACGCAGTACGATGGTGGCAATGCTGCGGCAGAGCATTACTCCTGCTGTGACAATAATTCTAAACCCGAGAGCTAGAGATGAACACGGAACTGAACATTCAAAACGTACAACGCAAACTAGAGTTCTCACTGTGCTTTAGGAACCTTTGCCAAGTACGTGCACATATATCATCTCAGCTGATCCTTAAAACAATGCTTTGGGGTATTACTTTCATATCTCCTTCAGAGATATGAGAGAGGTGACAGAAGTTTAGAGAGCTACCCAAATAGCTAGTAAATATATGAAACGGTGCTGAAGCTCATTAGTCATGAGGGAAAGGCATGGAAACCAAAATAAGCCACAACCACGCACCTACCAGAACGGGTCAAACTGAATAGGCCGACTGGCTACACCTGCCGGCGGCGGGGAGCCCCCGGAATCACTGGCCCGCTGCGTGCAGTGGGTACGCCTGGGGTCTGTGTGGCAGCATTGACTCGAGCTGAACGTACACACACCCTATCCCCCGGACGTGTCAGTTCCAAGTGTGTATCCCCAGAAGTGTACCAAAGGACATGCGGATGTTCACAGCAACATTACTCACAAGAGTCGACGCTGAGAGCAACAGGAATGTCCATCGAGGGGACAAACACTGCACGACTGGTGGAGTCAGACAATAAACAGAATACTACGCGGCAATAAGAACGAGTGGCCCGTGCACCACAAAGTGACGGATCCCACACGTAAAAGCTAAGTGAAAGAGGCATGCACAGAGGGCAGGCTACACGGTTCCATGTATGCGAAGCTCAAAACCAGGCACAATTCATCTACAACATTAGCAGTTAGGGCAGTGGTTACTTTGGGGAGAAAGCTGGATAGGAGTATGGGAGCTGGGGAGCACACGGGGCTTCTGGACGGAGGTGGTCTGAGACAGTTCAGGCTCCTATATAAAACTACCATCGACTGGGTGTTTAAACAACAAACAACTATTTCTCACAATTCTGGAGGCTGGGAAGGTCAAGATCAAGGCACCAAGGGACTCAGTGTCTGGTGAGGCCCACGTCCTACACACAGACGACTTTCTTCTAGCTGTGTCCTCACATCGTGGAAGCGGCCAGAGAGTTCTTGGGGTCTCTTTTATAAGAGGCATTAATGTCACTCATGAGGACTCTACCTTCACGATCTAATTACCTCCCAAAGGCCCCACCTCCTCAAACCATCACACTAGGGGCTGGGATTCCAACATATGAACTTGCGGAGACACAAACATTCAGTCCATAACACTGTTCATATTCTATTTCTTGATCTGGAGGACAGGACACATGGGTATGTTTACTTTCCAATAATTCATTAAGCTACATATTAAAATGATCGTTATACTGTTCTACACGTAGGTTATACTTTAATAAAAGTTCATTACAACTTTTAAATGGTACTATCATATGAAATTATCACCTGTCTAAATAGGAAATTTGCGTTTATCTCAATTCATGTAATACAACAACCCTCTGGAGTAATAAGTACTGTGATTATCTCCATTGTATAAATGAGGAAATCAAGGCACAGAGAAGTGAAATAGCAGGCCCAAAGTCTCAGCCAGTGAGGGGTAAGACAGGACTGGAACCCAGGCAGTCAGGGGCCCACAAGAACCCTTCATTCTTGAACAGCCTTTGTTGCTCCTGCAGCACTTCATCCTGGACACTCAAAGAGCTTGAAAAAAACAACTCCAAGTTGGATCTAAACCAGGAAGCCCAGTCAAGCCAAGTGAGGTGACTTCACGAATGCCAATAACATACCATGCTCTGCAAAATCAGGCCTCCAGAGGGCAACAGATCTGCTTAATGCTGGCCAGACTTGGGGTTACTATTGAGATTCAAGTCAACTGTCTTTTCATTGTATTCATTTATGCAAAATGTTTTACATCCTCCAGATGTTGTTGCAACTCATTTTCTACACCTTTGGAATTCTAAGTTTAAAATTATAAATAAAAGTGAAAGCATAATTTAGGAAAACAGAAACCTAAGGATAACATTCCTTCTAGTTTTTCCCTAAATGTGCTCAAATTCTTTACAGATTACCACAAAACTCTTACACTACTTGTTTTATGTTATTTTTACTCTATAATTAAGAATGCTAGTGTATGGAATTCTAAGTTATGAATGAGGAAGGTAAGATAAGATCTATTCTACCACCAGCAGAACAAACCCCATTCTCTTTCTTTCATCTCCAGCCCAGCTGGAAAATAAGAGAATTATAAGTATATGAAAATACACTTCATGTGAATCTAATTTAGTAAGTGAGCTACCTTGAAGACTCTTGCTGTGAACAGTTTGGCAGAGGAACTCCATTTCATACGTATTACACACAATAAGAAACACTAGTTATCGAGGCACCTGTGTTAGGTCCCAACGAAAATCAACACCTGGGCTAATAGTCAAGCAAAAGAAACCTGAGTCCTGGCTCTATGGGTGGGAATATATGTCAATCCATCATATTTTTTTTCAATGATGATGTTTATTGCCTGATCAATAGTATTAGCTCATACATATGGCAAACAAGTAGTTGTTAGTATTAGCTGATTTAAGTTGAACAACAGGCCTTTTGTAATTTTGAGTTTCAGTGCATTCAACTAGACTAATCCTTCTATCTAACAAGAAAATCAATATCTTTGAAATAATTAGGTTCAGGCTCTTGGGAACCTACTTCTGGGCAGGGATAGGGCTCAGCTTGAAACAGCTGCTGCCAGACTACGAGCAGTTTCCCTGCAAAAGCAAATCAATTCATGGGCACTGTTTTTTAGCCTCTGTTCTCTGAAATCTGTGGAACGATGCCAGGGTTGAAAATACCCATTACATTCCTATGCTTTTAACTGGCTTTGAGATTTCAATTTTTGGAAAATGTTCTGTGAGATGAGGTCGGCATTCATTTTCCTGATATAGCATGAGAAAAATAACTCCCTCATACCTTTCTCCACCTAAGATGACGGCCAATCTCAAACAAGTTTAAACACTGCAAGCGCCTGAAAATACTCTATAAGGTAAAGTCAGAATTTGTGAAGAGATAGTTTTAAAAAAATGGCTCTGCAAGTGGTTTTTCATCCCCTCCTAATATTTTTACAAAATTAAAATTCAGGACCAGCTACTAAGAAAAGACATTTTTTTAAAAAATGCAATGATCGTCCTGGCAGATTTAGTCCCTTGTTGGTTCTCAATGGTTCTCAACACCGCGCTTCCGCAGACACTGAAGTTCAGTCTGTTATTAAAGTGCCTGTCCTCTGGGCCCTCCGTGGTCAGAGCAGCTTGAAGAGCTGTGTGTTATGTCCACGGTATTTACAGATTTCAACTGGTTTGAAAATCAGTGGGAGGAAAATGATTCTTCCCTTAGAAAGGAATAGCAAGAAGGGATAAATGAATTAATAACTAGGGAGCCACTGGTAATGTTCCTACTTAATGAAAACAAGGTGCTTATGTAAACGGAAAAGTCAGCCCCACACTCCCTTCATGGCTGGGACTGGACCCCAGGGACGTGCGACTCCCGGACGGCCCTGGAGAACTAAAGATGAGCAGCTGATGACACCTCACCATGGACTTTGTGAGCCAGAAGGAAAAGTCTCAGCAAAAACAAAGTTGCCAAGTACCCAAGTCACACTGAAAACAGACAAGCATACTACGCTACTCATGTAAGAAACTTTTATACATGTGAACCCAAAAAGGCAACGGCCATTATACTTATTAATGAAAAGTTTCCACATTAAGTTCAGACCACATTCCTTTGAAAAAATCTGGTATTGTTTCCATTCATGATTTTCTTAGTGGTAGGTTCAGATTTCTTGGGTCTTCATATATCTCAAGAACCAAAAGAATATATTAGATACTCTAACAGCATCAAAATAATGGCTCTCAAATAAAGTTTAAAACCAGATGATTGTGGCATATATACTACCCCACAGAACTGTTAAGAGCATTAGATGACACACTAAAAAATGTTAGTCTTTTCCACATAATAAATATCCACCTAAACCTTGCTATCAGGGACAACTGAGTGCCGTCAATGGAAATAAGACATGCCGGGATTTAGACTGATTAGACGTTTACTGAGTACCTACTGTGCACCTAGCACGGGTGTGACAGCTACATTCTAGTTAAGAAAAGATCCACATAAAGCAACATTATTTGCTGCCTAGAGCATGTATTACAAACTGTAACACACGTAACTGTCAGAGATGAAAAGTAAAAAGCATGCAGGCGGGGAGGTCATCATTTCCCAGAGACATATGGTAATTGTAATTTAATTATAATTTTCTTCTGTCTCAATCACATGATACTCCCTTCAGCATCTTTATGAAAGGAATCCAAGACCTACCCTTCTCTAAGTCCTGTAAGTGTAGGGCCAATGCTTCATTGTAAACTGCCCACTGGCATGCCAACCCATGCCTCGCTGTTTGGTGCGCTACACCTGTTTTATTTCCTGCCCCCTCCCGAACTTTTAAAGCACAGCCTCTGAAATAGAATCCTGGGGCACTTATGAGACATTTGCACCAAATGAGTTAAACTTCGGGTATTCCAATGACATTACAGCAGGATTTGCATCTGGGGCTGCACAGTCCATGTGTTGACTTACCCCTAGCAGCAGGAACAAGGTTGCTCTTGATGTGAGAAATCAGAACATTATGCACCCTCCAGGAAAGAGAGGTTACCTTAGGATCGGCTGTGAGCAGTTTGAAGGCGTGATATACTTGAGTTTCCTTGACGCCACCACCGAGATCCAAGAAGTTGGCTGGCTTCCCACCATGCAGGAAAAGGGCATCGCAGGTAGCCATGGCGAGTCCCGCGCCATTCACTGTAAAATGCAAACGGAACGCCAGACGGGGTAAACTTAGCAAAATGAAATGGCCCGTGAACTTTTTCCTCCACTTAATTGCAAAAGAGAACCCTTTCATGACGGGCCAATTTCTGCCCGCCCTGTTTGGAATTCTTTTCAACCGGATAAGCACAGAGATTTTTAGGGAAAGGAATCAGAAGACAAGCATACAAAAAATAACCAAAGGCGGCCTGGGAATGGGAGACGGACTTACCGAGAAGTTAAATCAATCTGGGAACTGTAAAGAAGGGAAGAATCTAAGTAAGTTATCAATTTGGGCTAGTTAGTAACAGAGGAGGGAGTTTTAGGTTCTGGAAAGTTTAGCTCTCAAGAGAATCGGAAAAGAGGGAAAAAAGGTATGAAAAGTAACTAGGGCCTATGAACTACACTTGCTGTTGTTGCTGTTCTCACCCAAGGATATTTTTTCCATTGATTTTTAGAGAGAGAGGAAGGGTGGGAGGGGAGGAGAGGGAGAGAGAGAGAGAAACACTTGGACTAACTGCTTCCCGCATGAGCCCTGACTGGGGCTGGAGGCTGAACGTGCAACCCAGGTATGTGCCCCTGACAGGGAATCAAACCCACGACCCTTCAGTGTGCAGACTGGTGCTCTAACCACTTAGCCACACTGGCCAGGGCTACTTCTTTTTAATATCCTTTAAGAGACTTGAGTAAAAAATGGAATTCTTTTTAATTTTTTGTTTGCTGAGAACTGGGTCGTTAGAATGCGCAGCCCTCTGGGGTTGAGCCACAGGCCTCCCGACTGCAACAGGGCTCCACGCACCGTCGCCCTGAGTGCAGCCGCCCGTGGCTACACGCGCCCTGGATAAAGTCGGAGGACAGATGGACAGATGATAACGCGAAGCAGCATTTCTATCCCCCTGCTCCTTTTTCAGAACAATATAGAAATGTTCACTAGCAACCTGACCATTAAAACTAGAACCAAAACGTGCTAGCATCTCAGGAGCTTTTCTTTAAAAACCAAGTAAAGAGTTTTAAGACAGGAATTTTCCAGAATTATGTTTTATTGATCAATTGTAGTCCTTTTGTTTCTTATGCTTAATTATACAAAATTATTTTCCTCAGGTTAGAAAGAAAAAAAAAAATCTCCTGAACTCAGCAGAAACTCTCAAGATAAAGTACCCTTCACTTTTTTCTGACCCTTGAATTCCCCAGACAACTGAACTGTGACTAATTTAATTAATTATGGGTCAACTAAAATAAAACCGGTTTATCTAGGGTCTGAAAGCAGCCGGAACGTGGTAGGCTACCTTAGTCACCCCATGTGTACTCCTACAGAGGCTGCAAATAATCTGTATTTAATTTGTTCTAAACACAGCATTTCCTTCTCCTTTCTAAATGCCTACAAAACGAGATCACGGTAGCTTATGGAGATGAGAAGGATGGGCGTAATGGGGTATGTTAGTTATTGCTCCAACACCAAGCAAGAGCTCTTGACGCCACTTGAAACTGGATGTCATTTTCTACTGTACTGAACAGCAAACTCCTGGGTGAGGCCGTTCAGTGCTGAATATGATGATACTGTTGGTTTAATGAGCTACAGATCTTTTTTATTTTGATTCCATTAAGATTAAGACCTTAGCTTCGGATGCAATAAATTGGTTGCACTGTAACACAGAAGGGTATGAGTCTCAGGACTACCCGCTGTGGACGGTAACAAAAGTTGTGCTGCTTCTACAGACCTGTTCTCACCTCACCTGAACACGCCGTTTTCACAAATGCAGATGAGCATGATTAAATCAACTGCCTTGTTCATAAGTTGGCACAATGGATTAAACGTTTTATTGTTTGCTTATCAGAGAAGATGAAATTTGAGCGTAATGATTAAACTGCATGTTTTCTTCTACCTCCTCTGAGGAAGTAGTTTTATCTGAACCCAAATTTCAGAACAGTTCCCACATGTCAGTCCTGCTGGGAGCAGCCAAGGTCCGCTTTTTACTAAGCGAAGGTTAACTGTGATGCTTTAGAACAGAGGTTCTCCAGGGGGTGGTTTCGCCCATCAGGAGACATTCCGCAGTGTTTGGAGACACTTTGGTTGTCACAAGTGGAGGGTGCTACTGGAACCCAAAGGCCCGGGATACTGCTGAATACCTGACAGTGTACAGGACAGGCCACAGCAAGGAGCCATCCTACCCGAAATGTCAACAGTGCCAGCATTGAAACCCGGCTTTAAATCAGTGACCACTGACCAAAAGCAACTTTGGGAAGAAACTCTGAATTGTTTCCTAAGACTTTTGAGTACAAAAATCTCTTATGTTTACTGGCTATTAGGAAGTAAAATTTCAGAGATCAGGAGTTCCTAAGTTCTGCACAAATCCACAAACCATTCCTTTGCTGTAACTGAATTCTCACCGAAGCAGGCTATGTTCCCATCCATTCCTATGTATTTTAGATCATATCTGGCAGCTTCATTCTCAATGGGCTCGTTTTCTGATTTGTCGTCCATTGCAAATATGTCTTTCTGTCGGAATTCTGCGTTGTCATCAAAGTTTATCTTGGCATCAAAACAGACAACTAAAAAAAAAAAAAGGAACCTACATGAATAGCTTTTCAGGATCTACATATAAAATTATCAAGGCTGGTAGACACAGGAGAAAAAAAGTAAGATACTGTCGCCCCCTCCCCGCCCATAATATAGACAGGAGAAGCTGTGTGGCTTTCATGACCGGAATTTAAACTTCAGAGCTACGGAGATGAATGCGAAATGGTCCCTGTTCTCAAGGGACTTACATTCTAACGAAGCAGAGTAATTTGTATCGTTCATCTTTGTTCAATAAACAACAATGTAAGTTGCTATCACTCATTAAAAGCTAAGACTGCCAGCTACATGCAGCTTTGATTAGCTGTTTGTACTATATTTTTAGTAATGAACCACTGATCACCACCTTCCCCTCTATGCAAAGAGAGGCTAGACAATGACACTGAATCCTGCCGTTCTCCTTTGTCTGTCTTCTGGTGATGCAAAGGGAAACTTATTTCATCGGTATCCTCGCCCATATTTCTGAAAGACGCAGTGGAAAAAGCACTGGATCAGAATCAATCCTTTGTATTCGATCCTTAACTAACTGCAGCCTTGATTAAAAAGAAATAACCTGCTTCCTCTCTGGGCCTCAGTTTTCTTATTTAGAAACTGGAAATAATCCCTAGGCTGCTGATGTGCTTGCTTTGGGGTCGGCTAATGTGAGTACCATCGTCTTGACGTGTGCAGGACAGGAGGTGACTCTTTTGATTCGAGCTGTAAAACACTAGGAGACCAAGACTGGTCAGACACCACGGAAGGCTGCCAGGCACTGTCAGCAACGCCGCCTCCACGCCCGGTGCTGGTTAAGCGTCTTAGCTCTCTCGGTGGCAAGGGCCCTGGACACAGCGAGACTCACTTGGTGGGAGGATGGACGGCAGAGCCCTTTCTTGATTTACAAGAGATCTTCTGTAGTACGATCGGGGGCGAGTGCAGGGGGTGGGGTTGGGGTTAGGGCTGTCTGTGACGCCATTCCACTAAAACCTTTCTCTCCTGTACCTGGGATGCAGACAGGCAGGGATCCTGGACCAGGAATTTAGAGACCTTACTACTCTCCAGCACTGCAGACTGGCATCTAACTCTTAAACGGGAAACAACCACCTTGGCATACTTCAATCAAAAGCAAGGATTATAGTCTGTGAATCCTAATTGCTTCCTATGGAAAGAAAATATTGTTCCACTATGACGTCCTGGGGTTAAAAACCCTACGTTTTCCCAATGTTCTCTCTACACCATAATCAAACACTGACACAGATCTGTGCAGATGTAGCATATTAACATCTAAGAACACTCGAGAAATAAAAGTCCAAACCACAAATTACTTCAAGTAGCACTGACTGACAAGAGAGATCCTATGTGGGACTTAATGTCTTGCCTGAGTCAGCAGTCTTGCCACAAAACGTCCAACCATTTACCCACACACTGTGGGTACACGGAGCAAATGAGCATCCCCTTCCCCGAATCTTGAAATCTTAATGATGGAACCCTATAATTATCAAAGGAGCTGGCCAATCCTCTCTCTGTTTGCTACAATGGCATTTTCTCAGCAGTTAATGACCGGTGTAATAATCAATAGGAAAGCAACTTCACTCTTGGTTGTCCACTGGGTTTATAAATACATTTAAATTAATTTATTAGTAACTACGGCTCCTCCATTACTCATTGGCAAGACTCCTGGTAACTGACACCTTTGAAATGGATGGGTAAAGGCAAGCAAATTGACTTCCAGGTGAGGAGCTTCAAATAAAAGAATTCTTGGTCCAGATCAATAAGCCAGTAAATCATAGTAAGTCCAGGCTGATCTTTGCCCCTTACAAAGACTAGACTTACAGGCTCCATGCGACAGCCTACTTAAGGGACTTGGATGAGCGGCCCAGCTAACCATCTGTGGGCGCAGGTTTCCCAGATGCTTCTGTGGCATGATGTCTACACCAGGCGGGGGCCGCCGAGGGAGGCCCTCGAGTTTAACCCGAGCTTGAAGATGGTGACTGTGGGATAAAAAGGGTACCTACAGGGAGGAATAAAGATGGGTCTGCAGGTACCACACGTGTGGGGTGAGGTGTATCCACAGCGGCTCCTTGCTCACTGCCCCCTCTGCAGAGAAAACTCAATGACACACTTAGGTCAATGCATGTGTCCAAGTGCTTCGGGGAGTTGGACGCCTAGGAAGCAAGGGGACTTAGGAGTTAAGAAAGGTAATCCAAAACTGAGCTGCCACCCTCAAAGCCTAAATCTTTTAAGGGTTGGGAAGTAAGAAGGTGCATGGACTCTCTCAGGTGCGTATTTGTCAGACTGTGTAATATTTTCAAATCAGTCCCTAAGAGGCAAAGTGCTTTCCTGCTTTTCTACTTGTTTATAATATTGAACTTCAGAGTTTAGTGACCTCTGGCATCAAAAACACCTGTTGTATGAATTATAATTCCGGCACTTCCTAGGCAGGTAGCCAACACCACTCTTACGGCTTGTGGCCTTGTTTATAAAATGGGGAGCAGGGTGTTTTCTACCGCACAGTGTTGCTGGGAAGAGGGGAGGCTCGCAAAGCACTCAGCCTCACACGCGGCTGGCACACACTGGTCACTCTCATCCCCGCCACCCCGTCTCCTGGCACAGAGCTTCCTGACACTCAGAGCTTCCCAGGCTGGAGGGTTCTCCTCTGCTCCTCTTGCTCAAAATGGCCTGTATTTACAATCCCAGACTTCTGTTTGGAATAAATCTAAACTCGTGCCTATGGGAGTTTACACCTATACAGGTTACCTGCGGTTTTCAATAAAATGTCATTTTCAGAAGACAAATATGTGCCTAAGAGAGGCTATGTACCTTCTTCCCCTAAATCTCCAAAAAGATTTAGGATTTGGGGGTGGCAGCTCAGTTTTAGATTACCTTTCCTAACTCCTAAGAATTTTCCCACAGGAAGGATATTAGTGGCTGGAATTTCAGGCTTGGTAATTGACAGGGAAGGAAATGTTCCCCTAAAGGGTGAGGGTGAAGGAGATGCCTCTGCTGACCCTCAAGTCACACACCTCTGCCGAAGGCCGAGGTGGCTACAGATTGGTACGTAACAGCCCCAGTGAGAAGGGAAGTCGGGGTGGCTCAGTGTGTTCCCCAGGTGAGCTCACTGCCTGTTGCTGTAAACAGGGTTTTACTGGGATGTAGCCATGTCAGTTCGTTTACATCTCTCTATCACTACTGCCCCAAGAGTCCCACCGCTGAGATGAGTAGCTGCAAAAGAGACTGTCCAGCACTTTACAGAAACAGACTGGCCATCCCCACAGGCTGGCCATCCCCGCAGGCTGGCCATCCCCGCAGGCTGGCCATCCCCGCAGGCTGGCCATCCCTGCAGGCTAGCTATCCCTGCTCAATCGATCACAGTTCTCGTCACATTTGTACCTTGCTTTATCAACAGACATAGGAACATCGGGTATAATATTTGCTATGGTGAAGGAGATACTTAGAAAAGTGTATCCTACTAGCTTGAAAATAAAAATGTGTTAACAAAATAAACAAAACTGCAGCTAGCACAAAAGTAGATTAATCCCTGAATACTGATTAACTCTTACATGTTTATTTCCCCCTGTAAGACCCCTTCAAGTACGTGTCTAGGTGTGTTAAAAATGGGTTAATGTCTATGTCAACAGCAGGGCAACCAAATAAACTTGCTTGCTCAAACCTTAGCTTTTTCATTTAATAGAACAACAAACTATGGTAGAATGTGTTTTTGGAGGTGCTCAGCTTGGCTCAGACATTAAGCTTTTCAATGTCACAATAATAAAATCTCAATTCTCTAGAAAATTCAACTTGAACAAAGGCCATTCTGTGTACAAAGTGGGTGAAAAAACACACCTATTAATATTTATAAAACAACTTTCACCATCAAAAGCACATTGTTACATGCTTGATAGAGTATACAAATGAATTTTTCTTCTCAACAAATATCAAAGAAAACAGTGGCACTTATATTCACAGGGTGTTTTGCTGTTTTGTTCAGTGGTGTTAAGATTCTGTGAGCTGCTAATTCAACATCCTCCATGAAGAACATGACTGGCAGTTAGCGGCCTCTGACCCTGGCGTTTTAGCAGGAGAATGTGCGATGGAATTAAACAAAAGAAAAATACATTTCAGAGGGGGAGACTCGTGCATAAAGGAAACATAACCACAGCAGGAAATAAGACTGTCATAATTAGTTTGGAAAATACTCTGTCTTCAAGCAACGCCCTGCACCTGATTTGTGATAAATCACCATGAGGTACTATTGAAAGGTGCCCTGTCAAAGTGGCCTCAAAATGCTGGTGCTTTCAAATTGGTCCCACTTTCCATTAAAGATTGATGTTCCAAGAGTTGTATACTTTTTAGAACTTTTTTTTTAGTTGGTGTGAAAGGAGAAAATAGATACGAGGAGGGAGGGGGTTTGGAGTAGGTACAGAACTAAAAATGTTCTTGAAAATAGAAGTCTTGTGTATAAAGACAGAAGCAGAAACACCCACCGACAACATGGGCACTTGCTCACATAAAGCAACAGGGCTGTTATTTAGGGAAATTAATCTGAAGCAAGACAGGGATTTAATGTTCCAGTTAACATTCGCCCAGCTTTAATTCTCATGTTATCTTGGCCAGATAGTCATTGTTTTAACCAGGTTCATTCCTTTAGCATGATGAATGGAGTTGTGCTCCAAGGACAAAGATGCCCCAGAGCAGGAATTCTTAACCTGGGGGCCCTGACACTGTGGGTGCAATCGGTTTTGGTTGGGAGGGGCTGTGCCTTGCAATACTGGACGTTTGGCGACATCCCTGGCCTCTACCCACTAGAAACAAGCAGCAGCCTGCACCCCAATATGTGACAAACAAAAATGGACGTTAACTAGACTCACTGTGGTGACCACATCAGATCGTCCTGTGGTATACCTGAAACTAATATAATGTTTGTCAATTATATTGCAATTAAAAAATGTCTTTAGACATTGCCAAACATCCCCTAGGGGACCAAATGCCCACCTTCCCCATTGAGAAACATTATTTTAAAGACACCAAAGAAAGGAGTCTGTGCCCAGGCAGATCCGGCTGAAAGTGGGAAGAAAGGAGGTGGGAGGTAAAGTCCCAGGGGCCTGCAGAGTAAGGAAATGAACGGATGGGTGACTAGATAGATAATAACACAGAACACCCTGCTTCTAACGTGGCCACCATTTAATGAATGGGTTCTGGCACTGCAGCTGGGCAAACAAGGAAACAGTTAAGCTTCCTGACTAAGGAGCAGCACTTTCACTTAAGCAGCCAGGTCCTCCTGGTGCAGGGCTGGGCTCAGGGTCCTTTTTCCAAGAAGCAGCGGCCTTTTTCCAAGAAGCAGTGGCCTTTCTCCGAGACCACGTGAGCGGTGACTGGTCTGGGCACGGACCTGTGACCCACGGCGGAGCAAGCAGAGTCACCTGAAAGGTTGCTACGGCTGCTGGAGGAGCTGGTGAGACCTGGAGCCACCTCCACTGCCCTCCAGCAGCCCGGCTCCCGAGCCGCAGTAAGGGGCAAGCAGGGCCGGGGGGCCGGAGTCCCACAGTACCAACCCTCGGGGGCTGTTCCACAGAAACCAGGCAGATGGAGGTTTCTATCTCTAACAACCATTATAATCCTGACTGACAGTCACTAAACTACATTACAGTTAGTAGAGCCAACTTCTAGTCTTTGAATCAGGTTGTAAGTCATGCTGCAAAAAATCGTTCCCAGGCTGCTGTTCTTTCTTGACCTCAAAGAGGCCCCTGGGTGACCCCGCAGTACAGATGTTATCAAGGCCATTGCTCTCACTCAACCCGGCATCATCCGCAAATGTGTGACCAAGCACCTGGATTTTTAAAAAGTGTTCCTCAGTGAGCAATGGCAGGACTGAAGAAATGCTCTTACAAAGAGCCTTTATTATGCATAAGATTAAAGTAAAAATGTTTGGTATGATGTCTAGCTCCTTGAACTCCTAAATTAAAAGAGTAATTATTAAATCAAAGTTTAAATGTGAAAGGTTCTATGTTCTGCTATTACTGATCTAAATGAAAAAATTAAATATTAAGATTATCAATATTGCTATGATATAAATGATTGCTTTTACAGCTCCTAAATAAAGGACGGCTTCAGGGGGCTGTGACAATGATGAAGATCGATTTGTACATTTGGTCATTAATCACCGTTTCCTAATTGGGTTTAATTTGACTACTGCTCATTAGGGTTATAAACCAACACACTCATTTAATTGTGATTAAATTCAATAGCTGAACTTTTATGGTACAATGAACAAATTAATAGCTAAAGATAATTTTGCTCTTAAAAATATCACATAAGACTTATGTTTTAATGAACTGTAAACATGAAATGTATTTTATGATGAGTCCTTCAAAAAAGCTAAAGAATTTTTCTTTCTCTTAATAATTAAAAAGAAACCTTCAGAATTCACAAGGTTTTATAAATACGCTGTAGGAAAAGGTTCGTACACCCCGGCCCTGCGGCCAGACCACAATCTGCGACTGACAACTTCCCAAAGGCTTGAATGAAAACAGTCCTACAGCCTAATTTTTATCTCACTCCATGGCTGAATTTCCATTTTTAAAAAATATAAAATAACCAGGTTGCTTGTGCATACCAGTTTGAAAAGCAATATATGACCTTTAAGACCGATATTGAACTCCCTTCTCTTTCATTTCTTGGACTTAATTATCAGCCACTCAATACAGCGTGCATTCTGACTAACAGTCCCAAACTGGGACTACTTCTAGATCAGCCAGATGAAAACAAATTAATAGATAGTTTAAGAGGGAAAAAGAAAAGAAAGCAAGTCACTCTAAGTCAGTACGGCATATTAAAATCAACACACACACTGCACTGAGAGGGGCGTGAGTTCGAATCCCAGCTACAGTAACTAACTGCTCATGGGGAGTCACATGAATTTTTCAATCTTCCATAAAATGGGCATAGCACTCCTAACTTTGCAGGGTTGCTGCAAGTAATAAAAAAGAATATAAGTGAGAGTTATCATAGTGCCTGATGTAGGAGTTCGAGAGTCTTTCCCCCCCTTTCCTTACCGTCTATGTTATACTGATGATTTCGCAGCCAAGTGGAATTTGAAAATGATTTATGAATAAGATAGAATGTTTATAAATGACCTACCACAGATTTTTATCTGGTGGTCACCTGTGTACACCACTAATTATATTATTTTCAATGACTTCCTTAATATGAGCTCTTTGCCTATCCTAATTTGAAATGTTTAAAAACAAAAACAAAAAAGGAAAAAATAGACAAAAAGATAAAAATCTATCTGTATCCTTCCTGGACTACTGCGGTACCTGAGAAGAGGAACTACATTTTATGACTGTCAGGAACTGGCATGCTGTGTGTCTGACACTGGATGTTTACACAATGCAGGTCACCTCATTTTAACAGCCGCCCTTCTGGATTAAGAACGAAGACAACCATGAGACCTGGCTGAAATCTGCAGCCAGGACATGGCAGATCCCGAATCTGAGCCCAGGCCCCTCCGTGAAACACTAGCACCCTTCCAGATCACCCTCGCTCAGTGGGGTCTGACAGTGCCCTGGAGGGGTGTGGAGGGGGGCAAAGGCCTACTGGGGGCCTCTGCCCAGTGACCTCATGGCCCCCTCTCTGACCTAGGGCACAGTGCAAACATGTCACGGAGCACTCTTATATTCACCCACCACAGAATTCGGGGGGGGTCTAGGAAGGGGAGGATGGGAAGGGGCATTCACTTTTGTCTCCTTTGTCCTTTTGTTCAGATAGAACTGTACCTGCAGCACACAGCTCTGAATTAAAGCATGAACACACACACACACACACACACACACACACACAGCCCTGCCCACTTTGGTCCACAACTTGGCTGTATTGCATATAACCTCATTTACCAATCCAATGGCAAATACCTATATACTGACTGTCCACAACATTCTAGGCAGCATGCAAGACTTTGGGGGTGAAATGTACTAAAAAAGACAAGGTTCATACTTTCTGGTGTCACTATCCTATCCACCTACTGTCCCACCCCACCCCAATCACATGCACATACTCGAGCTTTGGCTGTTGAATTAATAAGAACTTCTTGAATACTTTCTGTATGCAGGACAAAGTGCAGCGGTGGTGGGTGCTGAGATATGAAACAGTTCTTATACTCCACAAGAACCTGATGGATAAGAAAACCTTCCCCACAAAAATGCCTCCTTCTGCCACCTGAAGCAGAAGCTCATAATCAAGGCGAAAGGCTGGATGGCAGGATATCAGGGGCTTCACCAGATAATGTAAGCCCAGCAGGGGACACCAGGTGAATTTACACAGATTTAGGGGAACTATGAAGCTTCAGTCACAGAAGCAGGTCCATTCATCACAACCAAGTGCAATGGCTCCTGCTTCCATCAGAATCTTTACCATAGTGATGGGCCTCAAAAAACTGGGGGGTGCTGGAGGACAGGTGCTTCCAAATAAAACAAGCAGCTTCCTCTGAGGCTTGGCATTTGGCTACGAACAAACTCAAGTGCTGAAATGTTCGACTGCATCATGGGAGCATTTGAAACTACGGTAAAAATTAAATTACTGAAAGAAATTAGTGCAAAGCTGCTGCTACAGTCTTTTGTACAACTTAATTTATAGTTTGCATAGATAATTACATTTGTGTTCTCTTATTTATTTATTGTTTACCTTGTCCTTCTGGAGTTTCACCAAAGGGGTTCACTTCCACCTGAGTAGCATCAATTTTCAGGAAAAGGTTATATAGCTTCTTAATTTCGTCTGCAGCCTAAATGCGATAAAGTGCAATGAAATTACACCAAAGCAGTAAAAGAACATTTATTCTGCTGGATTAATGAAACCTTAAAAAGTACATGCGATGTCTTTATTTTCAGTTAGGTTTTCTAAAGGGAAAAACAGAAAAGCATACTATTTTAATTTCCACAGCTATCATTAGAAGGAATTGCTCAACTTGCCTTCAGACAACAGAAAAGATCATTATCAAGAACACAAAATATTTTCAGTATGGCCTAAAAATGCGGTTAATCTTTCTGCAAATTATCACGTCCCTATTAGCCGAGCTGTGCCACAGGATGAGCTACAATCATTAATACAAACAAGCTCCATTCAAGTAAAAGGTAAACATGATTTTGAGAGTAATGACTAGGCTTTCCTAATTATGTGGAATAAGATAGTTATTATATTCATCAATCCAAACCTATAATCTGTGAAACAACAATTACTGAGAGTCTAATGGAAAGTGTTGCAAGAAAGAAAGGTAAAAATCCTAGCAGAGCAGGGGATGAGCCTCGCGGTGCAAACTGAAAACTGTGTCCCAAAGGCACTGGCCAGAGGCGAGCATCCCTCCCCCGAGCTGTGCCCCGACTTCATTTTGCTCACTCAGCTTGAAGTTCCCTCCCTCCCTCATTGTTTTCCACCAAGATTTATGAACTGCCTGCGTCCCAGCACGCCAGCCCTGTGGGAAGGGGACTCAGGGACAGCATCACGCATGAGGCGTGCACAGCCGAGGGCGCCACCCAGCGAGACTGTGACCACGGCCCAGGGGCGGCCCCAGCCCCGTCTTGGCTCGGTCTTATTTCCGAGCAGTGGCTTTCCCTCTGCTGCTTTCTTAGGCATTTGCTCCAGCCCTGCGTCACGTCCTCAGAGGCGTATCTGGCTGTTTCCCGTCTCCGCACATCGGGGACCTGACCCTTGTCGGCGAGTTCCCAAGGCCCCTGGGCTCGGCTCCGCCAATGGGAAGTGGCCGCGGGGGCCGGGGGGTGGGGCGAAGCTGGGCATGTCTCCCTCTCCGGGCTCGGGCAGCATCTCCTGTTCTGGCTTCGGGTCCCACCGCAGGCCCGCCAGGCTCTGGCCTCTGTGCCCAGTGCCCGCCAGCACTGCCGCCTCACCCTGTCCCCGAGCACGCAGGCAGCGGCAACTGCCTGCTGCCCCTGGGCCGGGCGCTGCCGCCGTCACCCTGAAGCGTCTCAGCTCTTACAACATCTGTATCTGCGCAGCTAACGCCACAGAAGAAAGCCCGCTGGGGTCAACACTGTCTCTGCTCCGGGAAACCGAAGACCAGAGATACGATTCACCTGATTTATGTGTATTTCTAAACTTCCTCAAAGCCTAATTTGAAACAAAGGGGACATAAACATGCATACTAAGGCTGAACATTTTTTAATATTAATTTTTTTGGGGGGGGCAAGATAATTTATACATGACACACAATCCCCAAGGCACCCCGAGGTCTCCCTCCGAGCCTTCCCCCAACTCCCTGGCCATGCAGCTCCCAGCTCAGCTCCTGCAGCAGCCGCCTCGCCAGCCGGTGCCACACGGAGGTATTCCAGGCACATGCACACACGCACATGCTTCACTCACTCTTAAAAATTAACCAATCTGGGTCTGCGCCTTGTCTTTACTCAACAGGTTTTAAAGAGCCTTCACCAGCAACACTACAGACCTCCTTTACTCTTTGAAATGGCTGCGTGCTATCTTACTGGGGGGATGCACCAGGGCTCCTTGCCCTGGCTCTTCAATAAGCCACTGTGCTTCCCAGCTTGACATTCCTTCCAATGCTGCCTTACCTATCTTTGCATGTATGTCATACATGTGACTAAACACCTGTAGGACAACTTCTGGGGGTTGGAACAAAGACGGATGTGTGCATTTTAATAATAAAAGATGATCATAAACTGTTCTCGGTAACGGCTGCCACTAACCACAGTGTTCTAACCACAGCCGTCAGCTCTCTGACGCCCGCCGTGTGCCAGGTGAGAATGCGTCCTTCATGGGTGGTGCTGATGTAAATCACTCTTGTTAAGGAGTGAATCTGAGAATTATTCTACAAGCTTAAGAGACATTTGTGTTTCCTTTTCTGTGAATTCTGCCCATTTTTTCTGTTGAGATGTTAGTCTTTTTCTTATTAAATTACAGGAAGTTACTTTTACAGGAAGGAATTTAGCTCATTTATCGAGTATCAATTGCCAATACTCTTCTCCTTGATCTTTTGGCCATGATTTTGTTTCTCCTGCCACATGGAAATCTGATGATAATGTCGATCTCTTCTTTTCTAGCTTCTGACTGTGTCAGACTGTAAACAGGCTGTTCCCCCTTCGAGTGTTAAAATAATCCTCTCGTTATTCTCCCAAATACTCTTTAAATTTTCCTTTATTTAATGTTTACTTTTAAAAAATCCAAACAGGTTTTATTTGAGTTACAGTGCATAGCTGCTAAGTAACACACTGTTGAATACTTTTTGTCCTTTTAAGGGTTTTCTGTCATCGACATGCTTGCAATGTAGGCTTTGTGAGAGACGCATGCTGTCCATCCTGACGCCGTAACACCCACCCTACCTACGCAGCCTCGGCACAGGGTGAGCACCCCACAAGCACTGCTTGCAGCAGTGACTGATAATCAGGAGAACCCATAACAGGCATAACTTTTGGCTGTATAACTATATAAGATTTTATCCCAACTACTCTAAAACTTTCTTTTTTAAAGACACATACCATAAAATTCACGACCTCAACCATTTTTAAGTGTCCAGTTCAGCAGTGTCAAGTATATTTACATTTTTGTGCAACCAAACTCCAGAACTTTTCATCCGGCAAAACTGAAACTCCATACCTGGGACATCATAACTCCCTACTCTCCGCTCTCCCAGAGCCTGACGACCACCCACTTTCTGTCGTTAGGGGTTTCACTATCCAGATACCACAGGTAAATGGAATCACCCCTAATTGTATTTTTGTGACTGGCTAATTTCTTGTTTTTGCGGTTTTTATTTTGTTGAATTTATTGGGGGTAACATCAGTTAATAAAATTATATAGGTTTCAGGTATACGATTCTTTAAACATCATCTGAATATCGTGCTGTGTGTTCACCACCCAAGTCGTCTCCTGTCACCATTTATCCCCTTCCCCTCCTCTACCTCCCCCACCCCTGTCCCTCTGATAATCACCATAGTGCTGTCTGTGCTTATGAGGTGGTTTTTTCCCTTTGCTTAATCGCTTAATCCCTTCACCTTTTACACCCAGCCCCCAACTCCCGTTCCCCATAATAGCTGTCAGACCGTTTGTTCTCTGTATCTATGAGTCTGTTTGTATTTTGTATGTATTTTGTTCATTAGATTCCACATGTAAGTGAAATCATATGGCACCTGTCTTTCTCTGGCTTGTCTCGCTTAGCATAAAGACTAGCTAGTTTCACTCAGCGTGATGTCCTCAAGGCTCAGCCACGCTCGGCACATGTCATAATCTCCTTTTTCAAGACTGAGCAACCTTCCATTGTATCTATGTATATACCACATTTTGTTTATCCACTCATTTATCAATGGACACCTGGGTCGCTTCGAAACTTCTTAAGCCTGTATCAGCCTAGGTTAGAGCGAAGCCTGAATTTTCTGCACATTAATGCCACTGTAATTATAAATTAACACAGCATTCGTGGAGGGGTCTTCGCTATTGTAACTGTATATTCTTGTACATACAGAGGTAAACTATAAACATGTTCTGAGCAGGGATGAGCATGATGAAATCTTGCTGTAAGATCCACAAGGCAGCGCCAGCCTGGCTTGGACAGCGCGCCTTATTCCAGAGGCAACGCAGGAACGGACGACACGGGCCAGGCAGGCGCTGTGTTAGTCTGGCCAGGTGTAAAGCAGGGAATGGCAGGGCCTACGGCAAGTTGAGCTTAGCTCCTCTGCTTTCTAAATGCGTTCAAAGTTTAAAAATTAAACACTAGTCAAAGAAAACAGTATGCTGGGGAGCTTACAGTCAGCCAGTCTGCTATGCTGCCTACTACCTTGGTTCACCACACACTACAAAGAAAGATGTTTTATTTCCTTCTGCCATCACTTACTGTTATTTTAAGGTTGTTTGTTACAACCTGAAAGTTAAAGTTGTAACAAACAGGTAAAATGTCTAAATTTAAATACCGTTGAGGACATATGCTTCATACCATGACAATGTATAAGTGTCTTCTGTCTTCAAAAATGTTTTAACGGGTTAAAAATTTTTAAATACTCTTCTTGCATTCCAGAAACGAACAACATCAACATTCACCTGTGGATCCTAAAGCCAGCAGAGGTACCACCACCCCCAGGTGTTTATGGGTGGGTTTGAAGTTGGCCCACTGGGTCATTTCATCTGCCTCAATCCTAGAGGCAGTGTTGACAATTCATGGTGCCAGAGTTTTCAGAAATTAATAGTACAGACACTTGAGGAACTTGTGAATTTTTAGTCCTGTTCGGCTTTCCCATGGCTTTAGTCTTTTCAGCCCACTCTTGCTGAAGTGGATTTTCATCAGGAGCACACACTTGGGGATTTTTACGCAAGGTGATATTTACTTTTATTAAAACTCACATCACATTTGAGAGACATCAGGCATGAGTCACAGGACAGGTATAATTAAATCTACAAACTAATCATTTTATATGCTGTTCATCCATGAGTGAGGTACCTCCTCCAAATGCCTAACCCACATTCTAGATGAAAATTAAGTAACTTTCAAAGTCATATTGAGTCCATGGGGCCTCTATGATAACATTTCTTTATCAAAGATCAGAAACTGATCATCTTGACCCTCATTTAGACTTTTTTCCCTCCTCAGGTGCTGCCTCCACCGGCTTCCCGGAACATTTCACCCATCGCAGGTTTGAGGAGGCATCATGAAGCAGAGATCCCCAAATCTATAACTTCCCTGAGCTCCTATCCCAGTGTCCCTGGATGAACAAATTCTGACAGATCTACCACTGTGATCACCCTCTCTCCCCTTCACTCTCCCTCTCTCCCCTTCACTCTCCCTCTCTCCCCTTCACTCTCCCTCTCTCCCCTTCACTCTCCCTCTCTCCCCTTCACTCTCCCTCTCCCAAAAGTGGGATCACTGGCTCGGTCAGAAGGCAGCTCCCTTTGTAATTTTTTGAGGAAATACAATGCTGTCTTCCACAGTGGCTACACAAGTCTGTATTCCCAACAACAGCACATAAGGGTCCTGTTTCCCGGCATCTACGCCAACACTTGTTTGTGGATTTATTGATGGCAGCGATTCTGACAGGTATGAGGTGACATCTCACTGTAGTTTTAATCTGCATCTCTCTGTTTTGTGTGTCTCTTGGCCATCGGTGTGTCCTCTTTGGGGAAGTGTCTATTCAGGTTCTCTGTCCACTTTTAATTGGATTGTTTGTTTGTTTTGGGGTTGAGTTTTACAAGTTCTTTATCAATTTGGATATTAACCCCTCATCAGATGCATCATTGGTGAGTATGTTCTCCCATTCAGTGGTTGCCTTTTCATTTTGTTGGTGGTTTCCCTTGCTGTGCAAACACTCTTTAGTTTGATGTGGTCCCATCTGTTCATCTTTTCTTTTGCTTCTTTTGCCCAAGGAGACATAGCAGAAAAAATATTGCTACAAGAAATGTTCAAGATTTTACTGTCTATTCTCTCTTCTAGAATTTCTATGATGTCTAAGTCTTACGTTTAAGTCTTTAATGCATTCTGAGTTTATTATTGTGTATGGTGGAAGAAGGTGGTCCAATTTCATTTTTTGCACATATCTGTCCAATATTCCCAACACCACTTATTGAAGAGACTGTCTTTATCCCGGTGTGTGCTCTCGTCTCCTTTGTCAAACAATAATTGACCACAAAGGCGTGGGTTTATTCCTGGGCCCTCAATTCTGTCCCATTGGTCTATGTGTCAGTTTTTAGGCCAGTACCATGCTGCTTTGATTACTATGCCTGTAATACAGTTTGATATCAGGTCGTGTGATTCCTCTAAATTTGTTCTCCTCTCTCACGATTGCTGTGGCTGTGAGGGGCCTTTCGTGGCTCCATATAAATTTCTGGAACATACACCCACTTAAAAGTCTTATTCTGCTTCACTCTTCTACGATGTGCCTCACTGTTGCTCTTACAGTTCCAGAAATGAGTCAATCAAAAGGAAAGATAAGAAAAAAATGCAGTCTCTACTGTTTCATTGGAGGAAAACTGCCCAACTGAACGAAGGAAAATGCTCTGTAACAGTCCCAGAGCCGCAGGGGAAACACATGCACACACACACAGGCGGGCGCACACACAGGCGCACACCCACACACACGCAGGATCATAGTAATGAAGGAGGAAAACTCGCCACCAAGTTCCCACGTAGCCGTGGAGCTGTGGAGAACTTGGTGGCGATCTCGGGAGCTGGCTACGCAGACATGAGTGAGGCCCCACGGTTGCCCCGAGGGCAGTGCAGAGGGCGCCTCAAGACAGACCCTCCCTCAGAACTCGGAGGCCGATTTTTCTGGCTTTGAAGCCAAGAGATATAACGACTAAAGTGGCAAGTCTTAAGCCGTTTTCAGTGAAATATCACCCTCAGGCCATTAACACTCCCGTACGGCCATTCACCACGAAAGGACAGCAGCGAGGGGTGCTACTGCCAACAGTCACAGCCGACCTCCCGGGAGGAGCGAGCCAGCCCTTTCCCACGTCGGGGTGCTCGGTCCTCGCTCCAGCTCCGTCAGTCTCATCAGCCCCACTGGACAGGTGACGGAGCTGACATTCAGATGGGCTGAGTCACACGCGCTCACGTGCTGGGTAGCAGCGAAGCATTCAAACTCAGGTCCGCCTGACCCTCAGCCTGCCCTTCTAACCACTATGCTGCCTTTTGTAACTCACGGGCTGGGGCTGCAAGCTGGCAAAAAGAAAGAGAGACTAACATACGTGACAAAGTGCAGGTCACACACTGCACACACACCAAGGTGCAGACATATATATATACACACCAGAGAAATACCTTCTTCATCAGAAACACTGAAGGAAAAAACACACAATAAATTACCTTGTTTCCAGGTAATCACAAACATTAGAGACAATCAGGCAAGTTCTCAAATGTTTCCTAAAACAAGTCAGACAGATCGGCCTCCCATCGCACAGGTACCTGGTTTCTCAAAGGCCCAAGGAAGCCTAGATTTTCCGCCATCCGCTGTGCTTGGCTGTCCTTTATACCTTCAATGATGTCAATCTGCTCCTGGAGAAAAGTGACCGGAATATGTAAACAAAATCCTGATAGTCAGGTGAGAAGACAACCTCAGAAGAAAGTGCTTCATATTTATTTGCAAATGAGTAATGAAAGTGAGGCACCTTTCCTGGGGTGTCTGAGTGAGGCTGCCGCAGCTGCTAAGGGGTCGGTTTTAATGGGCAGGCCTTCTATAAAACAGCCTGTCCAAAAAGCGTAATTCTTCAGGGGGCATGCTCACAAGACAATCAGAGGACAGTTTTCACTTTTAATTACTGCACAGATGGCAATGATGTATATTTAGTCAGTTAATTTTTATGTCATCTTTTGGAAGGCTTCCAAAGTAAGGTTTTTCCAGCTTAATATTGCTGTTAGCTTTAGAGCTTGTTACACAGGTTAAATATTAGCTTATGATATAAACACTCTACCAATGATAAAAATCATGAAAACCTCAGCCTTAGTGCCATTCTCTCCTAGATACTGCTCACATATCACCCTATTTCACATATGCCTTAACAAATGGATGGCATCTGATTTTTGTTTTGTTTTGATTTTTATCAATTTTTAGAAAGAGAGGAAGGGTGAGACGGGGGGAGGGGGGGTCAGATATCAATGTGAGACTGCAACATGGAGCGCCTGCCTCCTGCATGCTCCCTGCCAGGGATCGAGCCCACAACCCAGGCTTGGGCCCTGATTAGGAATCAAACTGGCGACCTTTCAGTGCACAGGCCGACACCCACCCAATGGAGCCACACTGGCCAGGGCAGGAATGGCTTGTTTTAAATGGTAATGGCTAGGTATTACAGGTATCCCCTTCTTTTCAAAAGTGTGCTTTGCCAGTTAGCTTTCATGTGTTTTTGTTAACCGAAAAAAATCTAAAGAGGATTTCAGCTTTTATGAAAATCAGCTTAAAAATGGGGGAAACCTGTATTAGTAAGCCAGTCTGTAAGTCTCAATTCACATTCCAAAGCAGTTAACTTAAATATGTAACATTGGTAAAAATGTTCTAAAACCAATCACTAAGTGTCAGTGCTTTACACAAAGTGGTTCAAGAGATAAATTTCCCACTTTTTGAAGGAAAACAAAATCACTTTCTACATGAAAGAGTATTTCTGCTAGAAATTTTTAATGTGATTTTTTTGATACTATGAACCCAGAATTAAAAACTGGAATTATAGTTCAGAAGGCCTTATATGTTTTTACTATAGTGGAGGTAGGCTGGGAAGCACACATCCCCTTATTTAACTCTCACAATTCTATGGGGTGGCAATTACCCCCATTTTCATTTTACTGATTCAAAAATAAAGATTAGAGACATTGGGAAACTTACTGGCTAGTTAGAATCTGACTTCAGATATTTTTGGCTGGAAACTAATCTTTTTTGTTGTTGTTAATCCTTGTCCGAGTATATTTTTTTCACCGATTTTGAGAGAGACTGGAAG